TGTGAAAGTGAAAATGAAAGAGAAAGAGAAAGAGAAAAAGAGAGAGCATGGGTGGAGGGTAGTGAATAGAATTTAAAAAAACACAATACATGTATCACATTAACTGAGGGGGGGGGGGGGGGGGGGGGGGAAGCAAGATGAAATTGAAACAGAGGACAGAAAGTAGGCCTAATGAAATGATGACTACATGTCGTAAGCCTACCAGTTCTACTTTCTGAACTAAGTCACGTTCAATAGTTGATTCTATTTTATCATGAGCCGGTATCAAAAGTCAATACTAGTTACCAAAGATTAGCACAAAAAGCAGGGAGATTGATGGTCCTCGACTTTGATCATGCATTCTCAAAACATTTCAGTGGTAGCGCGTCCTTGGCACCGAGGTGTGCATTTAACGTTGTTTCTCTTGGCATTTCGTCAATACCCCGGGTCGTGTTGTAAAGCAGACACATTCACCCCCAACAATATCTCGTATTGTAACGTTTGCAGAAGAAGTGTGTGTATGTGTGTGTGTGTGTGTGTGTGTGTGTGTGTGTGTGTGTGTGTGTGTGTGTGAAAAGAAAGAGAAAGAGAAAGAGCATGGATGGAAGGTAGTGAAGAGAGCTTAAAAAATACAATAGATGTATCACATTTAGATGGCAGTTAAAAAAAGCAAGATGAAATAGAAACAGCGGACAGAAAGTAAGGAAATGATGTCGTAAGTCTACCAGTTCTACTTTCTGAAATAAGTCACTCTCAATAGTTGATTCTATTTTATCAAGAGGCGGTATCAAAAGTCAATACTAGTTACCAAAGATTAGCACAAAAAAGCCCCCAAACAAAAAAACTAATGGTCCTCGATTTTGATCATGTAGCAGCGCGCTTTGGTACCGAGGTCTTTTTTTTTTTTGGGGGGGGGGGGGGGGGGGTAAGTGTTTTACGGCGCCCGCAACTGCAGAAGGTCATAACATGAACGTGCGGGACACATTAAACATTTTCAGTTGCTAGGAAATTTTGATTTTTCCCGGGTTCCGGCCGATGCCTACTTTTATCGATTTTAGACCACCAGGAGATCTTTAACGTGGGCAACTTGCACACGAGACCTCCGAAATTTTTCGTCCTTGTGATAAGAGTAGATCTTTCCGACCGAAAGATCAGGGATGTAGCTGAAATGCAGCAGTAAGAAGGAGCCAAGGAGTAGCAGTAGAAAGGCTGCAGAAAGAGCCAGGAGCCCAGAGGAGGGGGTAAAGGAGGTGAGGGGGTGGGGGCAGAAAGTGGAAACGGAAGCAGACGACAGAGTATTGTTAGAAAGCAGGAATTCTAGAGAAGAAAATGTTTCGGTCGCTATCCGGATTCGAACCCGAGACCTTTGAATGAGAGATGTGCATTTAACGTTGTTTCCCTTGTCATTTCGCAACACCCTGGGTCGTGTTGTAAAGAAGACAGTTGACACATTCATCCCCAACAATATCTCGCATTGTAACGTTTGCTTAAGAAGTGTGTGTGTGTGTGTGTGTGTGTGTGTGTGTGTGTGTGTGTGTGTGTGTGTGTGTGTGTGTGTGTGTGTGTGTGAAAGAGAAAGATAAAGAGAGAGAGAGAGAGAGAGAGAGAGAGAGAGAGAGAGAGAGTGAGAGAGACACAGAGAGAGAGCGAGCCATATATATATATATATATATATATATATATATATATATATATATATATATATATATATATATATATATATATATATATATATATATATATATAGAGAGAGAGAGAGAGAGAGAGAGAGAGGTGTGCAAATTAAAAACAAATGAATCTCAACACAATCCATTTACAGCGGAACCGTTTGACAGCAAAATCCGAAGGGCAATCCTTTTTCCATAACCGCTTCAATGGAAATTGCGTCATAATCTATATCCCTGTTCAAGTCTGAGTTCAAAGAGAAATTCTCAATCACCAAATTTATTCACAACATTGCAGTCCCATCAGCGCCATTGCCACTTGATTGTGTGGTGTGAAAGAATGTCTGTCGTGAAGGTCGACTCGCGATGTGTCGCACCTCTCATATCACTCTCAGTAAGGACGACGCGTTGTCGTTAAATGCATAAAGCAATGAATATATGCATGGAAATACCCCCGGCACTAGGAATGAGTGAGGATAATTCTTTGTCAGTCTCGCATGGGGCTGATCCAAACATGTAAAGGTCCAACAACCCTCTTCATGACCCTTCTAGTCAGTTATGGCCCTTGAATTCTCATACATCTTGTTTCTCCTTTATGCACTGAGTCACGGAGTCACATTTGGGGCGCATTGGGCGCGCGTGTGTGGGTATGCACGCACGCATGCATGCACACACACACACACACACACACACACACATGCACACACACATACACACACACACTCACA